AGACAAATCCCAATACACCAGTAGCTGCCTGTAAAATACATGTATTAGAGTAATTATAATATACAAGTACATTTCACACAAAATTTTGGTAAAGTGCTCAGCATCTTGTACATGTACATGTACATGTAAGTGAATTTTTATGACTTTTTCAGTTGCTCCAAAATTTGACACAATACACTACAGTAAGTACAGGATATATTTTTTTGATTCCGATCAAAATGAAATTTCTTTACAAAATTTTTAAGTAGCTCCAAAATCAGGCAAAAATCCCTTTACCATAGTAAAGAGTCTTGGGCCAAATTTTGCAAAAAATGACTAGGACAGAGTTCTCCATGTTCATAATTTTTTCTGATACAAAGATATCCTTGTGTTACATAAAAACTTTAAGCTAATTCCAAGACCAAAGTAAAATAATTTTAGTAACTTGAATTCAAGCTTACATGTATGCTGATAACACGAGCCACCCCATACATACACTAACTATTACAATAACAATAATATCAGTACCTGTATGATACAAGAGTACATTGGTGCTACTAATCTCGTTGGTTGAGCTAGCATAGCTTGACGACAGCACTCCTTAACAACTGATATCAACTGACCGGACACAGGCCCTCTTAGAGTATCTTGTTCAGACTCATCTTCACTAGTGGGCTCCGTCCATTCAAGTACCTCAAAACAAACCCCATGGAGAGGCTCTTCACAGAGTGGACCAGAGAGTGACGCTAACTGAAAACCACTAATAATCGAATTATCATAATTTCTTAAAACCGGATCGGTAGCCTCTTGACCGACCACACCCTTATCTTGATTGACCACGCCCCTCCAAATCGAAGGTCGCTCATAAGAACTGATTTTATTTAAGAGGATGTTCGTCCCGGAATTACGAGGGCCAAACGACCATATTCGGTCAATGGCTCCATTCCATTTCTTTTTGTCTGCAGTCTCAAGACAGTTCTTTAAATCTTCATACAAGGTCTGGAGACCTTCGACCACACCCTCCTCATTACCATGGTAACTAGCTCCACCCATTGAAGTCAAAATTTTAAGTAGACGAGAGGATTTATCTAATACATCAATTAGAGTCTCAGGAAGGGGCGTGGCTAATATTTTAATGAGATGCGGATTGTTCCCAGGAGTCGAACATGTAACGGGTCCATTATTTTTAGAGGCGTGGCTTTCGGTATACTGACCAATCAGCTCATTCTCTGACGATATAATCTCATTAACCATATCAACAGTCGGTCTGGCAATAACCGTCTCCCTAAATGGAACTATAGGAGGAGACACTTTAAGCTCAACCCCTGCATAGACATTCCGGAGGTCGTCAAGGCAACGCTGAAGATGTACCTCCCCAGCAGTTGATAGAATCCTCTCGCCAGTTTCTTGATACGTACATCTAACGCAGGGATCTGATTGGTCGAGTAGCTCGAGTCCTTTATCAAGGGAGGGTAGGTCAGAGAAATGAACAGCTTCTAGTGCTACATGTACAATTGGAAAAGCAACCGACTGTAACTCCCTGAATGAAGTACAAGCCAGTGAAGAGGAGAGAGTGCCGCTTTTAACAATGCTATCTCCAAGTCCACCAATACCGGCTACATTGCCCGAGGCAACAGACTCCACCTCCAAAAGGTCCCGGCCCATCATGAGATAGAGTTTGGTGATAGTTACCGTGGTTACGTGAGGTGGGAGGATCACATCTTCTTGAGTGGGTGTGGTTTGAAGGAGAGGTGTTGAGGTTAAGGTGGGGTCATAGCGAGGCTGTAGTACAAATAGTTTTTGACCTTTTCTCAGTGTTCCACTAAACACACGAGAGAATGCCAGGAACTGATGAGGGGGAACTTCAGGCTCTGGCTTTACCGTTTCTTCAATATTATCTGAAATGAAAAATATTAATAAATATTTTTGTTTAAAAATTTGTGAGTTTAAAATAGCAATAACAGTCTGTATTAATTTTAATAATTAATTCCTGAAATTAAGTCTCCCATCCTAAAAATACTTTCAATTTTAATGGAAATCAGCTCAAACTATTTGCTAGCCATACTTGAGAAAAATTTGTCAAATTTTAAATGTTCAAAATTAAACAGATCAAATTTTCTACATACATGTAACATACGTGTACATGTACATGTACATGGTCATGAATAAGAACAATCATGCATCAAAAAAATACAGAATTCTCTCCTAGTCAATTTTGACAAAATTTGGCCAATGACTCTACATCTACATTTTTGCATGACCTTGACAAAATTTTGAGCAACTTTAAAAATTCGTAAAAATCCAATTCTGATGGAAATCAGCTCAAACTTTCTACACAACATAAGAACATGTATATGTATCAGAAAAAATTATAAAAATTGAGAAATTTCTCCTTTTTAATTTCAGTAAAATTTGGCCTGAGACACTGTGCTATAGTACAGGGACTTTGACATGATTTTTGAGCAACTTTAAAAATTTGTAAAAAATCCAAAGTTGATTAAAACCAGCTCAAACTTTCTACACAACATAAGAACATGTATATGTATCAGGAAAAATTATAGAAATGAACAATTCTCAACTTTTCAATTTTGACAAAATTTGACCAACAGACAGGGACTTTGGTTCAATTTTTGAGTAACTTAATAAATTCCTTTAAAAATCCAAATCAGCTCAAAACATTCATACAACACAACTTTACACAAGAACATGCATCAGAACAAATTTTTAAAATGGAAATCTCTCTTAGCGAATCCAAAAAATACAGTATACCCTGTATAGTGGATCAACTTTAAAATCCATTGATTAGAACCTGCATGAGCACTGTGTGAAAAGGAAACCCTGTATGTACATGTACAAATGCATGTACATGTATCATGTAGTGTACACATACATGTACGTGTGCATGTATGTGTACACGTACATGTATGTAAGCTGTACCTTCATTATTGTCTTCATTGGCTTCTGCTGGTTTAGTGTTGCCAGAACGTAAATTTCTAATTAAAGCCTCTCTCTTCTTCTTCAATTCTTCGAGTGTTAATTTCCTGTGGGTGTTCATGCTAAAGGGTTGAAGCAGAGAGGAATAAAACTAACCTGGTCTGTGTCTCACGCACTAAAGAAAGATCAGCCAGAAACATTTTAGAAATAAAAACAATAACAGGAGTATGAGGTTCAGGACTACAGGATATAAAACCTAAAAGGAGAGAGAGAGAGAGACATTAAGAAAAAATGATGTCAATTAAACATTATTAGAGCATACATGTAAGGAATATGTACATACATGTACATGTACATACATGTAGTAAGGCAACACTGACTTCTTAATCTTATTATAAATGTAGACTTGGTGGTGTAGCTGTTAATTAAAAGTAAATGATTGCAAAGTGTTTGTTTAACAACTATAAGTATAATGATTACAAATACAGTACAGTCCAGGTGTTATAATTATTGGTAAAACTATAATTACAGTAAATTAAAAGATTGAAAACACATGTACATGTATGTAGCCAAATGTCTTTGTCACTATCATTAACAGCAGTCAAAGATTCAATGGAAGAGTTACATGAGATGTACATGTAGGGCGGCATCTTATAATACAAAATGTACATGTACACAGACCAAAATAAGTAAATATGACTTTTCAATCCATTACATAAACTACATGTATCAATCAATTAAAGGGTGCATCCACATACATGTAATAGTCAATGCATTGGTAAAAGACATGATGAAAACAAGATCACAAAGATGAAGAATAAACAATAATACATGTACAGTATAGGGGCTGTTTAAACTACAAGTACAGCAAAGCCCACGGTCAAATTAACACACGTGTGATGTGATAATTAAACGACACACCCACAAATGTTTTCCATGTGTGCACCATTCTTGAGTGTGCTGCCTATACAAACATGCACAGAATATCGTGTAACATATCAGCAATGATCTTAATTATCTGAACTGTATCTATGGTACGCCTGTTTTTAGTACATACTGTACTACTGTATAGTGGAAAAATTTCATGGCCCAAAATTTCCGTGGATATCGTGTTTTTTTTTCAAAATTCACGAAAATAAAATCTGCGAAAGTCAATTCAATATGGTTCAAGACGGCCAAAAAGTAGAAAACCACAAAAATTAAAGCCACAAAATTAATATTTAGACTAATCCATGAAACTTTGGGCCACAAAATTTCCCGCTATACGGTACACAGTACACACAAATGTACATGTACAAATGATGCACAAATACAGTTCAATTAAAATAATTCAAAACAGAAGCATTACTATACTCACTGTCAACCAGTTCTTGTGTTTCTATTGGATACGAGTCGATCTTCCTATTACCAGCACACATCAGCTTCTCCAGTCTATCCCTACTCAATCCTCTGGGGCTAGGCAACACTCTTACCACCATACCAAGGACTGCAGCTGCTAACGGCAGCCACTGGCTACATATAGCAGTGAGGTGGATGAAAGGGTCGGAATGGGTGGAGTCACGTGCTGATATTTTTAATCCTAAACTGCTCGTGATTTTATCAATGAGAGGTTTGTTTCTAAAATAAGGTTTTAATTAAAGGGAGTGGTGGGCGGGTGTGGCTTACTTTTTAACCAGCACAGCATCGTAGACAGTCCAAATGTTTTCCAAAACAAACTGAACAAATAACGGCTTTTTACCTTTATCCTGAAAAGAGAATAAGAGACAGAAACTCTAATTTCATTGTGTCTACTATTATCATTAACATTTACATGCATATACATACATACATGCACATGTATTTGGCTTTACTAATTTTAGTAAACTAATACTGTATGTGTAATTCTTTAGCCATTTTAAATTCAATGCATAATTACTGTTAAAACTTAATATTCTACAAAATTAGTATACACATGTAGCTAAAAGTACATGTACATGTAGACTTAGTGTAGGGCGCAATACTTAAATAAACTACATGTACATGTAACATGTACATATAAATTTACATTGTAAGTGGATAGTATAAGGAAGGGGGATCAACAGAGAACAGTAAAAACATTCTACTACAAAAACAAACCAATGAAATATTTATTTTACCAAAATAGGCTAATAGCAATGACACATGTACATGTGGTTTGTGCATACATGTACATGTATAACTTACATCATATCATACATCATCATACATCATCATACATCATCATACGTCATAATACATCATCATATGTCATACATGTGTAAACATACAATTTACATGTACATGTACATATATGTACACATACATGTACATGTACATACCATATTTGCTCGAATAAATGCCCTGCTCAATAAATACCATGCCTAATATTTTCCAAGTATAAATATGCATTTTTAGCTAGTACATGTACATTGTATAACTGCCACAGCTGTTAGCTTGTCCCAGATAGCCTAATTCTCCCAGTAGGACATAAAGGTCATGCATTCCAATGCACTGTGTGCTTTCTTATTTTAAGTGATTTTTAATGTTAAGAAATAAACTCCCACGCATTTAATGAAGCAAATACGGTACAAGTACATTATACATTGTATATCTCACTCTGGCTCCTTTGCATATTCTCTTTGTTTTGCTATTAATGTAGAAGTCACCCCAGAGTGTCTTACGGAGTACATCCTCCTTAAACCCTAACTTCTTTGTGTACAATTGAACAAAATGCTCAATCCTATAAATAAGAATAGAAATAATTGAAACTGTTTTTGTACAAGAGTCAATTATATAGTGTCCTCTCTTAAACCAAATGTCACTATATTTAATCTCTCACCCAAACCCCCATCCATCAATAGCAGATGCAAACACCACGTTCCCTTGTTCAGGTGAGAAGTACACGTTAGAATCGTCCGCTTCACCGATACCACTGTCCCAGTTGTACACCACTTCCTGTTCAATGGTAAATGGGTGTGGTCTAACTAGAAAGTGTCTTACTTCATCATCCTCGGTAGATGCTGGAGGGTTTTCACTCGTTTTGTCTCCATCTTCTCCTTTCTCTTGGTTTTGCTGCATGATTTCTGTTGTCCATAGACTAGCCGTAACAGCATTTACCTGGTAATAATAAAGTATAATAAAGTAAATTGTACATGTACATCTACATGTACATGTACATGTATGGTTAAGTTTACTGTCTACCCACATGTTCATGTGATCATGCATGCAAATTCTTTGAGAAACAATTAAACCGCCCACGGAAACAGAAACTGTCTGGGCTATATTTATGTACACTTTCACAGTATTCCTTTCTTTTGTGCTACCATGAAAGGAAAACTTACCCTCTCTCTCTCTCTCTTACTTCTGTTAGGGTTTCCCACAGAATTTTGGCATAGTATTATTTGTCAATGGATTGTCAATTTGTTCAAAAATTGGACCAAAGACCAAGTACAGGGTATTTCGACAAAATCATGTGAAGAAGATGGTCACAGGCCAAATTTTGTCAAAAATGGCTAACAGAAAGTTCTCTATTTTTATAATTTTTTCTAATACATGTACATATATACATGTCTTTATGCTGTGCATCAACTTTGAACTGATTCCAATCAAATTTAGATTTTTTCATGAATTTTTAAAGTCGCTCCGAATGCCATGTACTGTATTGTAGTGCTTGTCAGCTCATGAAGCTCATGCTGTTTAGCTCACTTACATGTAGCATGCTTTGTGGGAAACTAGCACCAAAAAGATGCCGAGCACTATGCCAAAATTCTTTGGAAACCTTGAAAAACCTCTCCTCTCTCCTACTTCTTTCTGTACACAGTACAGGCTGTTTCATTTTCTAATACACTCCTCCACCCACTCTTACTTGCTGTAGAATGTGCTCAATGCGTCCATATGCCTCCAATGGTGTTATCTTTAAGTGAGTGATGAGTCTGTCCATTTTATTCAACACGAGGCAAGGCTTTATACCTTCCTGCCATGCTTGCTCAAGGACCACCTTAGTCTGTATATCGAGTGACACACACACCCAATAAATTGAATCAATCAATTTATTTTAATTACCTGAGGGCAAACACCTTCAACCACATCCACAACTACCAGTGCTCCATCACACAACCTCACTGCAGTTGAAACCTAAAAATACACACATACATGTACATGTAATACTTTAATAGAGACTGTTTTATCACATTTACTTTAGTAAAAATAAAAAAGTATATGTGTATTCACACTGTACATGTACATGTATATCATACCTCACTTGAAAAATCCACATGGCCAGGAGAATCAATAAGATTAATAAGATACTTCTCACTACCTGTTATAAAAAAGGAACAGTACAAATGCCATATATCACAAACAGGTTACGTGATGTCACAGTTGTGTTATAGTACATGAACCAAATTGCATTGTTACAGTACGAACAAAAATGGAAGGGAAAAATAGTGACAGAGAATAATCCAAGGTACATGTACATGTACATTATACATGTAGTTGGGAAAAGCAACACATTTAATCTTTTGATTCATGTGATGTGCATTGTAAATGTTCAAGTTGACCCAAAGTCTACTCCAGCATCAAAAATAACATCAGGTCTAGTATAATATATTGTACACTGTAAATACACTTTAACACACTTACAAAATGTACATGTACATGTATGTGACTACATGTACATTACGAATAAGTATTTATTAATATTATAAAAGCCCCTTTGAGGAGCTTTCCCTTAATCTTGTGTACATACATGTACATGCATATCAAACAAATCCGTTCCAACAATCATGACATGCTGTACATGTACATGTATGTGTATTTTAATGTGCCAAACTTTAAACTTTGGTCTCTTCTCACCTTCAACAAACTTCAAAGCAATTGCACTGGATTTCATAGTTATTCCTCTCAACTGCTCGTCTTCACGATTGTCCATATAACGCAACTAAAAATAACATCAATAAAAATACCATAGCTATTAATTAATATAGTATATAGTAGGAAACTTTGCAGTGGTTAATATTAGTGATTTTCTGATTGAAAAGTAGTGGCAGTTAATAAAGTTGTAGCCACATATCATTGAGCATGCTCAAAATAAAGCTAGTGGTAAACTATATTTTTGAAACTTTATCATTAATCCTCCAATTGCCAAAATAAACCCTGCCAATTTTATTGATTTCTTTCTTATCTTTCCCTAATATTACCTTTCCTGCTTGTCGGCGAGATATTATCCCGTTACTAGCTATCAATGAATCAGAGAGTGTTGTCTTGCCTAAAAGTTTATTAACAAATATATTATTACAGTATAAAGAGGTTACCATGATCAACATGAGCAAGAATGCATATATTCCTAACATTGTCCTGGTTAGTCTGTAGGCTGGTCAACTCTTTTATTTTTTCTTCTCCTCCTTGTAGAAAAGACATCTTCTCTAAAAGTAAAATAGAGAATGAGACAGGAAAGTTAATATTGCACCATCAATGAAGCACGTGTGTTAACCACGCCCACAGGGGCACGCCTATAAAATGAACACACCCACAAACACGTGGGAGCTAGATCAAAATGTTGAATGTTATTGACACATGATAAATTACATGTAACAGTAAGTCGCTTTTCTTTGTGTGAGTTGTACTTGTTACACTCTGTATAGATCTAATAATTGAAAGATTTATAATTTATTTTTAAGGGGATTAATTTAATCACAGTCGCCATATTTTATTAATATTAAAAGGTAAATAGATTTTAATAACTAGGTCTAAACCTTTAATTAATTTAGGGGTACAAGTAGCCGAGCTCATATTCGAGCTGCTAATCTCTCTGTACCTCTGGACCCTCTCTAACAGTACAGCCTGTTCTACTTCTCCTAGCTCGCGTAGGTACTATATCATAGTTCACTGCTTCCTTTTGCAGCCTATAAAGGACAGGACGGGAGGAAACAGTTCGTCTAGCCCAAGTTTGGAATGTACAAAGCTCAATAGTTCAGTCAGAGCCAAGAACGTTGCTACGAGGAGACTAAAGAGCCAGTGAAGGCCTTACTTCTTATTGGAGACTGGTAAAGAGTTTGAGGAACGTTATCATGAATACTGACATTGACAACAGCTTGGTTGGACTTTCACAGGAAAAGATGCAGGTCAGTTGATTCAGCCTTATTTCTGTTCACCATTCCCTCTCTTACTACCTCCCTCTCTCATCTCCCTCTTTCTTGTTTTCTACTCTCTTACCTCTCTTACTTTCCCTCCCTCTCCCCTCTCTCTTTTCTTTCCTTCTCTCAATCACTATCCCTCTTTCTCCCTCCACAGAAAGTATCTTCTTTTAGGACAACTGCTAATGCCACTCTAGCCAAGACCTCGCTGCCCTCCATGACGGTTGGACAAGCTGTCAAATATTTATATGCATCAAAATTCGATTCAAAAAAAGCTGAAGATATTTTCCATCGCTATCAAGTATGCGAAGTTTGTGAACATGTGCTGCTTCTAATGTACATGTACATGTACTTACTAATGTACATGTACATGTACATGTACATACTTTTTTATTTGATTGTGCCTGTATTTGTATCATAGGTGGTCCATGAAAGTGTGTATTTTTGTGTACGGTATGTGTGTGTAAAGTGATCATGTGGTTTTCGACCCCTTGATTTATTGGTTGTAGACAAAATCCCCCTTTCTGATTTAATATTAACTACTTATTATTATTTTAGTTGTAAAAATAATATTATTTAAATCTCTAGTATAAGCAGTCCAGCTGTCTTATTGTGAACTTGTGGGATTGATGAAGTTGCTTAATTTGTATTTTGTTGACTTAAATCCACCACAGCCGTGTACATTGTGTTTGAATGTCTAATAGCTACATTTGAGCATGTACCTATGTTGACATCTGTCCCACATAATATTGCCCCGATTTTGTGAGTCTGTGGTTTGTGAGCCTGCTTTTATGTGAATGGGTTCATTTAGAGTTCATTCTGTGTGTGATGAGTTCATTGCGTGTGACTGTGTTGCAGTGATTCATTTACATGTACAAGTACAAGTATGATGTGAATCAGCCTAGCTCTGACCATGCGGGTGGATCACTGGCTAGGCATGTGTACATGGTTATGGCTGCTTTGGGCTGAGTGTGTTTGCTAGTCATGATTGCTAGCAGTCATCATTTTATTATCAGACTAATAACGGTCTATATATGTCATGTGTTGTCATTGATATCGACCACTGTTACAATACACTTGCCCAATATAATACAAATTGATCTAATCCGGCTATTATGTACATATACACACGTGTAGTATATGCACACAGGATCTCAATATGGGGTTATGAGTCAGAGGTGTTGGCAGTGGTGTTGGGTTTGTTATGGTATAATTGGAATCACCTCACGAGTTGTACACACTTCATATATGTACTGCTATCTTGCTATGAGTGCATCTTCTTCAGTTGTGTATTACTGATGTATTTGGTATGTACACACCCTAATGCTATTCCTAGTACTCTGTACCTTCAATTATGCATATTGTAGTCACTACTAGAGCTATGTTTACTTTACTAAGTTTCTCTATTACTATAACTTTTTTGTATGCTGTTAGTATAGTGTGTATTAGTGAGTGTATTGTGTATATCTTGTAGATTGTGTATTTTTGCATTATGTCCTATACTTTGAATTATGCTTATTTTGATGTACACACACTAGCATATCATATTCATCTCCTTGCTCTCTACTCGTATTGATGCTTTTGTTCCTCTTTGTGTAACAGGGCGTGTGTCTTTTGTATGTGTGTCTTTATGATAAGTATTATGTATCTTTTATGAATATATAGAATTATACACGCATTTATGATACTGGTATGATGCACATGTACATGTATGTGTAGTGTGTTTTATTTATCTGTGTTTGTGTGTGTGTCCATTCAATGTTATTCAGGGCATTTCTCAAGACTCAGAGACATAATGTCTGCCCTTAAACTAATTTGTTATGCCATTATGAAGAACAGGGGAGACCATATTTAACCCTTTTATCATATTTACACGCCTTTAGAGTAATAGGAGTGGCACGTCTACTTAATAATGATATAATATTGCAGAGAATACATGAAAGAAGCACTTCAGTGGGATCCATAATAATGATACTACTACTATTTCTTTACAGTGTATACATGTACATGTACTAATAGCTAACTTATTGGGATTCTTGTGTTATAATACTGCAGGCATAAATTTAGTATGTACATGTATACGTTAGTACATGTACATGTGTCTTTAGGGCGTGTTTGGTATGATACTAATTAGTCTCGTATGATATGCCCTACCCTTATATGGGGAGTAGAACTAATTGCATACTGTTCATGTATATCCACACACCCTCTAATGAATGTCTGTATACATGTACATGTACATGCACATTATATTAGTACTGTAATATCTGTGCATATGCAGGTATTTAATAAACTATTAGTAAAAGGCATATACAGTATAAATACATGTGCATGTGTACATGTGCATGTAAATTGTAGTACATGTACATGCATAATGTGTGTATTTACAAATACATGTACATGTGTATCTATGGGTATGGGTGATTTGTTTTTCCATGGTGATTGTTATCAATATGTAGATTTATGGTAAGAACTCTTTTGGGAATATGATAAGTGGTTTTGTACTGACTGCCATTTGTTTCACCCACTCTAAACACAAAACATTAGACTATTTTTACTATTGTTATTATTATTATTATCATTATTAGGATTATTATAAGGAGTTCAGTCTATCGGATCTTGCGCTAAACAAACATTCACTTAATACAGAGATCAGGTCAAAGAAACTAGAGATACTGGTAAGCTACAACTCTTGGTTAACCTCTACTTGCTGTATACTACTGTATTAATACTACATGAATACTATATGCTGTGTATGCTATATGTTCTATATACATGTACATAGACAGTTATTAGTGTGTACTTATTTTAGCAATTTTCATGATTTGGCTGGTGTTTAGTTTAGCGTTTTCATCATTTAGTATTAATAACTGTTAGTAATTTAATCAGAATTAAAAGTTAGCGATTTTCTAAAATTTGCTAAATACCTACAAACAATAATACAATAATTGTCTCCTTGATGTATATATATTTATCTGTGAATTTTTAACTCAGATGCACATGTACATGTGTACATGTGTGCTGTATATTTAAAGGTATTTATTTAGCATGTGGAATACCTTACCAATAGATACACCAGCAATAAATAATACACGTGTTGTGATGATGTAATGTGAATTGTGAAGCTTTCTGATAATGAAACGAATGAGAGAGGAAGGAACTACTACCTGTAGATACTACAGTACATGTAGATAAGAGTTATACTGTAGAATATGTAGTAGAGGAAACTTGTGAGTCGTGACGTATCACATGTACATGTACATGTATGTACACATGCAATGTATTTGAGTATAGTGAGTGATATAAGGTACGTTATAGGAAGGAAGGATGATGATGATGATGGGAGATAGAGATAGAGAGAAGCCGAAATAAAACAAGATTGCTAATTAGCTACATGTATAAATATGTACATGTAATACATAATCTACATCATGTGAAATTGTACACATACATTTATGTGTACATGTACTTGTTCACGACCTTGTTTTACTATTAATTTACTGTGTATTGCCCTAAGCCCATTACATACTAATGCACTAACAAAACACACTCTATCTCCCCTCAGTCTTGCTCAATAATCATTATTATTATGCTTGCAAACACTTACCCTCTCAGCTCTAGGATCTGTTAGAATGAAAGGGTAAATTATATGTATATGTACAGAAGCTGTTCGTGTGATTGATGATGGTAATGACGTTTATTATTCTTAAGATATATAATCAAACCAGCTGTCCTGAACAAATAGAAAACATTTGTAGCATAAACAATCTTAAGTTATTGTCAATTTCCAGTGAATACATGCACCACATGCCGCCTCCTTTGAAATAATTTTTATGCTTTAATGTTTTATATACATGTACATGTACAGTACATGTATAGTATGTTAGCGTATACATGTACATGTATGATTATGTCAATCAAACATGTATTATTCGTATATAATTTACTTTGTTTATTGTTGGTGGAAGTAATTTTATGTTTTTGTGATTTTTGTTATTATTTTTGCTTCATACGCTAATTTGGACAAGAGGAAAGTTTGTGATTATTATTATTACAACTATTATTGTTCGTATAATGTACATGTATCATATTTGGGTAATTGGAAGAGGAAAAGGGGAATTTGATACATGTTGATATAAACAGATGTGCATGTACATGTGCATGTATTATTGTGATTGTTATTGTCATTGTTGTTGTTGTTGTAATCAGTGAATGATGATAGAAATGATCAAGTATCGACTGTGATGAAACAATAATAATTAGCACATGAAGAATAATAACATGTACATGTATATTATAATGAATGGTCCATGTAGATTTAGACAGATTAATGATGCATATATTCGTATACATTGTACAGTATACATGTACATGTAGACCATGATGAATGAAAATTAATGCTTAAAATCATTTTTAAACTATACATGTACATGTACATGTAATTACATATGTATTTATTACATGCATAATTTTTTATGTGTTACTTTTGTTATTTTCTCTTTGACATATAGAAATAATAGTAAATTATTGTTACATGTACATTTACATGTATCTATTTTTATTAGGGAGCTCGTGACAATGATGGAGCTCAGATCCTACTGTTCACAGTAAAGAAGCACAAAGGAGGAGAGAGCAAGACTGCAGTCCAGCTTCTCTTCCTACTCTTAGATCAGATATCAGAGAGCAATGGGACCATGACCAAAGGAGTGACACTACTGGTTGACCTTCAGGAGTGTCCCCAGACTGTGTGTGACATGAAATATGTCACTACAATATTCAATATATTAAATGTAAGCAGATTATACCATGTATGAACTATACTACAGTACAATGTATGTGAAAGCCTATCTAGTGCAATATACATGTACTTATACAGTCTAACCTGTTATTATGGATGACGACACCTATATAATCAGGACAGGTTTTCATGTACATGTACATGTACATGTAGTATCAGTCCTAATACAATATTATAAATGTGTATTCTTCATGAACCTCTGAGATAAAGACACTTCCATGACCAGGACAATATTATTTTGTACATGTCTAAAATATTAGATAGAGGAAGAGACTTGTATTATTATTCTTTTCTACTTCCTTAGGGTGGCTATCCCTTATACTTGAATATGGTGTACATACTGGAGGCTCCTTCGTGGTTTAAGATGTCACGTGAGCCGGTCTATCAGAGCTTAAGCAAAGCTGGAAAGGTAAAAAAAAATAATAATAAGAAATAGAGTGTACATGAATGACATAATAATTATAAGTAATATTGAATTTACATGGAGAGTGACTCCTTGCTATGTAGAAAATCTCCTGCAGCCACAATATTGTTATCATAAAATGGATACATGGAATTTTAATGATTATAAAATGATGCCCATGCATGTACATACACACCCATGTACATGTTTACGAGTGAAATATTTCAAGTATTACATTTTTCCCTTGTCAGGTAAAGATGCTTTCCCTAATTGATCTATCATCAGTGATGTCCCCCTCGTCTCTACCCACTAATCTTAAGTTTCCTTTCAAGCCGTCAGCTTCATCAGGTTCTTCGGCTAATGCCTCTCCCTCACGGAATAAGTCTCCGCCCAAGTCTAACCCTCCAGTAGCCCCGCCCCCTAGAGTCGACAAGCCGATGAAGAAGCAGCTCTCTGAGCCAACGATAGCTCAACAAAAAGGTGAGAATTGTACATAATTATAAGTATAGGTTAAAGTCCATTTGTGTTTACCTGAGCCCTCGTTTTCTTGCAATAACTTTTGACTTACAAGTTCTATTGTAATAATAAACATGTACCAGTCCATTCCTCTCCTTTTGCCACATCTATTGTGATACTTCAGAAGTAGCTGTAGCTCTTTAGCTCCAAGTTGGTTGTATAACCCATGCAGAAAGTACAGCCATACTTTTTACAATATTATTGCATTGTGTTAATTACTGGGTGGGGTCTGTAATCACTTCCTGGGCTCAGGTGAATGCAAATGTCTTGAGTGTATACAAGTACATAAGTGATAACCACAATCATGCAACCCACAATAGCTTTTACAAATAACACTGCTTATAAACCTGCAGCCAACTCTACTGAAGTTAGCCTCTTTGAGTTTGCAGATTTAGTATAATAATACAATTTTTGAATGGGTTATTAATAACTGTAACCCTAAATAAATGTGAAAGCTAATGTAAAATTTAGAAATAGAATTAATGTCCTTATTACTGGTGGGTGATACTAGCCAATATGAATTCGATAATACTAATCAATATTAGCCCAGATTGGGTGTATTGTGCAATTTTGATGTGATATTTAGACCACACCTATGGAGTCACATCTCTTGTTATTGACTGTTTTTATCGATGTTTTTAGGCACGTATTGCTGGACGATATTCAAAATTTTTAAACAATGTGATAAATTATTAAGTCACACCCATTAACTTTAATATTACTAAAACCGTTCCGTGAACCTCTGGATACAGGCCATTCGCGAAAATTATTATTCTTGAAATAAACCCACTATACGGTAACGCTATTTCTCAGAACAATTATGTATTATCAAAACATTATATGCTTCTTTGGCTTGATATACTTCAGCTACTTCATTTGCTTTCCAAAAGAATACAGTTTAGTAATTTTTGAGATATGACTTCTATAGTTAATTAACCATTATTAAGGTTATGTAACCATTTTGTGGGTGTGGTCACGTTATTGATATCGTATGCCAGTTTATTTTCGTGGTAAAATATTTTCGCAAATTTTGCGGTTTGGTGATCATTTGCAAAAATTTTTCACACAATTTCTACTCTCCATTGCCATATGGTGCAGACTAGTCTGCAAGCAATTTGCAAAAAATTATTCCGCCAAATCTTAGAATGCAAGATTTGTGAAAGTTTTGTCAGCCTTGGACCCAATTTTTGAGAAACTTGACAAGAAGCTGCATGAGCACTATGCCAAAATTCTGTGGGAAAGCCTGCTTTCTAATGCGAATTTCAATATTTTGTTTTCAAAATATTCTACATATTAAACATGTACATGTACATGTAGGCATTATAGGCATTTCTAGAATATGCATGCACAATTATAGAAGTTATGTGAAACTACATGTACATGCATATAAGCTCCCAGGCCCATACACCAGTTGATTCTGTTCAATCAATTTGTAGTTATGCTTTTGACATTGTTCCCCAGAATAATATATACTTCACTTACTGCACTTATACTGCACTTTCAATAGATTAAAAACCCCTTCTACATGTGTATGTACATTTTGCTTCCAACATCAAAGATTGCTTGCAATAGAATTGCCTGTTGAAAGAATTAATAATAATGTCTCTTTGTTTTATTAATTTTTGTAGCAGAAGAAGAGTCGGAGGCCATGAGCGGTGTTAATGTGAGCAAGATGATGCAAGTGTTTCAAGGTCAGGCCTCAACCTCTCCCCCTCCTCCTCCCCCTCATGCTGCCAAAGCACACCCACTAGGAAGAGGAGGGAAGCTACCTCAAGTTAACGGTACAGCCCATCAACACAGCAACCAGAAACACTCGAAACCATTTGGAGCAAGTCCTGCTTATCCCCTTCAGCCTCCAAAGACCAGTAGTAGTAGCAGTGGTGGTGGTGGGGTACCTCAATATGACGTAGTGGGTCCCTCTCCATCCAACACTTCCCCCGTTAGGAACGTGTCCCCTCCCTCAAAATATCCTCCTCTATTCCCTCCTCCCTCCTCCGTTCCTCCTCCCTCTTACTCAGCTCCTCCTCCTCCTCCCCCCTCTTCCTCTAAACCCTCTAGACCGGTTGTCTCTCATAAGCCGGTCTGGTTGAAGTCCTCCAAAGTTCCTGATACTGAGGAAGTGCTCGCTCACGTCTCATACTCGGCTGAAGAGGTTGGGCCCCTTCATGATGATGAAGACTCAATAGATGGTCCCATGTCTCGAGATGATTCTGAGATCAGCTCCAGCAGTAGTGGAATGAGCTCGTCAAACAAGCAAAAATTCTCTCCTTCGGTCGGGAAAAGATTTTTTGCTAATTTTGGAGCTGAAGGTCTTTCTAAGGTTGGCGGAGCCGGAAATAAGATTGCACAGGTTTTTAAAAAGAAGGGGGCGGAGTCTGATAAGAAACAAACTTCAGCAGCTTCTACTGATGAAGACTTCTCTGCTGACTCAGGAGAAGGAGGAGTAGCTAGTAAAAAGGTGGAGAAATCCGGTAAATCCCGTGTCCCAGTAAAGATATTTGGAAACAAGAAAGAAGCACCGGATCAAATTGATTTAGCTGTCAAGAGTGATAACCATGCCTCCGGCCAGACTCCTCCTATGTCTAAATCAAGCCGCTCTCACTTGACACAATACGACAGTGTATCAGTCAAACCAACCAGACCGATGGAAAAAATTGCGGCCCACGATACAAACCATGCCCAAGCCCCACCTACCCAAACACATCCTTACAAGGTAACTGTGATACGAGACAAGGGTCCTTTGTCGCCTCCTCCTTTAAAGACTGCTCCTCCGGAATATGCTGCCATTCAGAAACCTCATCCATCGAAACACGCCCATCGTTCATTGACCCCACCCCCTTCCCTCCCTCCTCAGTACAGTGATGATGCTTTATTGGATGATGAGGATGAGAGAGTGGGTGTGGCTCCATTGCATCCCAAGAGACCAGACAAGAGGAACGCTTATGAAAACATATGCTTTACAGGTACATGCATGTACATGTACATGTACCTTATTAATAATATTTTTTATGAATGCACGTAATAATTAACACATGGTATGGGTGTAAAAATTTCTTGGGGTGTTAAATTTTACAGATTTTGTGGGTGATATTTTACTTTCAAAAATTAGTACTTGGCAATACTCACTATGCATGTGAACTCAATCTAAGCTCATTTGCAAAAACATTTTCCTTGCAAAATTGTTAAATTACTGAAAACTTTAGTGCCCCAAAGGTCAATTTTTATAGGTCAGTTCTTATGACTTAAATATGTTTATATTGATGCTGTATGTTTTAATGGTAGTGTGTACATTGTGTGTATGAAAACATTTGCATTAGTAACAACGTCTGTTGACATATTTGTGTATCATTACATGTACTTCATCACAATTAAGTGTGTGGGTGTGTACAAGTAATAGTAAAATTAATATACGTCCCTATTAATTAAATTTTTATTATTTCTTTATGTATTCATTGTTTGTTTGCTTGTGCAGTTGATGAAGACGAGGGTGAGATTTTAAGTGCTGAGTCAACAAGAAAGGACGAGATAATATACGAGAACTTTGGTCCTGATAAAGGGAACAGGTTCATGAGTGCGAGTGAGCTTGAGGCCTATGTGAACGAGAAGGGGATCAGAGGATTGTCTGAAGAGTATTTTAAAATAAAGAATGAGCCAGTCACTGGAAAAGCTGATTATTTCAGGTAAAGGAATTGAAGAGGGTCAGAATATGCAATGAGTTTAATTCATGTACACTTGTACTGTACATGTACATGTATATTTTTTTTTTGTCCCTTAAGCCCAGTTTACACTATGTCCTCAAAGCGGTTTGAAACCAGTTTAAAAATAAACCAGTTTATGTATGGACAATTTCAGTGCTGTTTGAAACCAACTTATCTAAACCACCTTAGGTAGGTGGTTTGAGAATGATGTAAACTGGTTTAAGGTGGATTTACACTGCAAAGTTAACGTAAGGTAAGGCCATATGTTAAGACAGGAAGTGCTGTATAATTTCAACTCTTACGTTACGTAAACGGTGGCCATAAGCTAGGTTCAGAATTCTTGCGTTGCGACCCGGAAGTGCTGTATAACGCAATGGTAAACGCAAAAATAGAACCAGTTCTATTTTTGTGTTTTACCATTGCGTTATACAGCACTTCTGGTCGCAACACAAGAATTCTGAACCTAGTTTTAGGTTTATACAGCACTTTCTGTCTTAACGTATGGCCTTACCTTACGTTAACTTTGCAGTGTAAATCCACCTTTATAGTATAAACAGGGCTTATCTTAATTTTGGGAATTAATTGGCAGTTTTTTGTAGAAACTACCAATATTAAATCTGCCTTCTTGCACTTGATCAATGATGCATGCATGTACATGTACTAGCTGCAAAACCAATTTTTTGCAAATTTACTGGTACATGTAATTATAATTATTTCAAATTATTCCGTTTCAATATGAACTTTGCAATCTCTTTTTATTTGACAAAATGTATTGCCAATTTAATTAATTCCTGCCAAATAATTTAAGATTTTTCACTACGTGTATTTTCTATGACAAATACTTTCTATTTTCTTTCTTTTCTCTCATTCTCTCTCTCTCTCTCTCTCTCTACCATTAGGTTGCCGTGTAATTCAACTAAGAATCGTTACAAAGACGTCATTTGCTATGACAGCACTAGAGTCACACTCAACTCCATCCCTGATACTGAGGTAAGAGATGAGCCAAAACTTTAAATAAATAAAATAATTAATATACAATTATAAATGAATAAATAGAATAAATATAATAATACTTGTTATTATTATTACATCAGTATCATTATTATTATTATTATAAATAAATAAATAAAGGACACTTAGATGTACATGTAGGATAAAATATGGAGGAAGAAAAACAGTTACTGTGTTGCTAATGTTGTTGTTATAGAAAATAAAAATAATAATAATAAATAAGTAAATGAATGTATATAAATGCTCCTGGTATTCACCAGGGGACAGTACCTGTATCTGTTTATTTACCATACCTTGCTCTATAAGTTGATATCATCAAGAGTGGCGTAAGCATTTGTATAACCAAAAAAGCTGAATTAAATTTTTAGTTTCCATAATGTGGCTTCTGTTGATTGTGGCCTTGTGCTACTTGAATGCATCAATTTTTTGGGCTATTAATGACGACTACCTCGCTACCTACATGTATCAATTATTTGTTACAAAATAATACCAAACTGCTGTTCAATGACTCTTCCAACAGCAAGGAATGTTAAGAATTACATGTACATGTACATGTAGAAATAAAATTTTAGTTGGTGTCAGAATCTAGCTTGCATGAACCTTCCAAAAACTATCTACATGTACATGTAGCTTGTAGTGACTGTTTCTATATTTAATGCTTGTTAAATGCTATCAGCAAGGAAATATCAGTTGACATGTTAAGCAATTAAGCTAAATATTTTTTCTAAGTTCATAAATGTACATTGTACATGAGTATTGGCATTAAGATTTGCCGTATCTATAAAAAAAGGCATTTATGATGCTTTGCTTGCAGTATAGGCTTATCCATTAATGATTTACATTTATCTACTTGTAGTAGTAGTAGTATCATTTCAGGGAACTTGTAGTAATGTCAGTTTAGGGAAAGGAAATTTATTTTCACTATACCTGCATATGTAAGGTTGTAGCTAGTTAGCTACATGTACATGTACATGTACATGTATTAACTCATAGCAGTTTAGTGTATTTACACGTACATTATATACATGTACATGCACTGTATAATGCAACAAGTAAAGGTCTTTGCTTCTCACAGTCAGCATTTTATTCACCACAATAGAGAAATAATACGTCACGTACTGATGTATGCTCATACACGTACATGTACATGCATGATCTTGATTAAAGTACAAAGTAGTTGTAATGTTGATGTGATAAGAAAGGGAGAGACAGGATTATGCTGAGAGTTACTGGGTGTCTCCTTTATGATTGAGTTATCAGATATCACATCCTTTTCTTTGGCTAGACTTTATTGTATAATTTGTATTTACACTTTTACCTTCTTTGTTCTCTGCCAATCTGTCCCTCTCTTTCTCATTGTCTTTCCCTGACCCTTTATTTCTCTACATCCCTATCTCTCTTTCTCTTTCTCTCTCCCCCTCCCTCTCTCTCTCTCTCTCCCTCCCCCCCTCTCTCTCCCTCTCTCTCCCTCCCTCCCCCTCCCTCTTTCTCCCCAGGGTTCTGACTATATACATGCTAACTATTGCAATGGATACCAAAAGCCAAAGGGAATTATCCTAACACAAGGTACATGTACTTCAATCAAATCATAACTTACAGTGTAATAAGTGTACCTATAACACAATAAATGAATAAAAGTTATGAATTTCAGTATTTCCTCTATTATTCACTTATTGACTACATGCATATGCATGTATATTATACATGTACACATGTATGTTCATCGAACTTACCCTCAATAATCTGTCATACAGTACTCAATGTGTGTTTGTGTTGATTAGGTCCACTCAAGAGAACTGTCAATGACTACTGGAGGATGCTTTGGGAGAAGGAAGTGTTTGTGATTGTTATGGCCACCAAGTAAGTGTTGTCTACTTTATGGAGACATATATGTACATGTACATGTACACCCTATAATTGACTGATACTCACATACACCTACTACTATCATTTATCTCTCTCTCTATCTCTTCCGCTCTATCTTTTTTCCTGTCACCTTTCTCTTCCTTTATCTTCTTCTTACCACCTTCTTCCTCCTCTTGTTTCAGATGTGTTGAGATGCGTAAGTTAAAGTGTGCCCAGTATTGGCCAGATGGTCTCAACACTGTTGCTCAGTTTGGTGACATTAGTGTGTCTGTTGTCAATGACGTGGTGGAAGGAGCCTATCAATTCAGACAGTTTGTGGCATATAAAAATGTAAGTCAGTTTGTTCTCGAGTAGTAAATAGTCTACATACTGTACATTTCTTTAACTGACATTTGTACATGTATATGTACATGTACATGTACTTGTGCACTTTTGAATTCCACAAATCCACAATACATTGTGTACTACATGTACCGGAAAAGTTAGAGCTGATTACAATCACAATTTTGTGACATTTACTGTACATGTACAAGCATTTTCCTATTTCAATAACATACATGTACATGTACATGTACAGTACATGCATCGAATACTATCACAAGCCACAGACCTCAAAGGCTTTGCTCTTACATGTACATGTATGTCACTCTGCATAAATGTCTTCAAAGAAATTTTATAAAAAATGAAAGAAAATTTATGAAAAATAAATATCACATGTTATTGACTATGTCATAGCTTACTTGTACATGTGTGTCACATTTCTCTCTCTTCTCTCTTAATACAATGTACATGTACATGTATATCTATGTCTTCTTTTCTCCCTTTTTGTCACGTTCTGATTCCTTCCTCTACTCTCCATTTATAGGGCGAAACAAGACACCTAATGCACTACCAGTTCCTGGGCTGGCCTGATTACGGTGTACCTGAGAATGGCTCTGATGTCATCGACGTCCTTGACGCTGCCCGCAGCATGCAGGGATGCTTCTCAGAGTATGTCACTGACCCTGATCGATTCCCACTGCATGGTCCCCCAATGGTGATACATTGCTCCGCTGGCATAGGGAGGAGTGGGACCTTTGCTTCATTGGATTATTGTATTGATGAGTTACGAATGACTAATAAGGTTAATGTTCAGGAGTGCGTGAGGCTTTTACGGCAGCAGAGAGCCTTCTCGATTCAAACTGATGAGCAGTATGCCTTTTGTTATAAAACTGTTTTGGAGTACGCCCTGTATCTCAAAGCCGCCTTGAAGAGGTGATGCTTGTGTTTTTTCTTTCTACGTTTTTCTTTTCTCCTTTCTCCCTGTTCAGTTTTGTGTTTCTCCCCCTCTTTTCATTCCTTTTTCTCTCTCCATAGCATTTATGGTTGTAATATATATAATTCTAATTTTGGCTCTGTCTGAGCTTTGTTGGATGAAATCAATGTTTTACTTCTTATTGCTTTCTATTATTTAGTCTTTTTTTTATTATTTTTAACCTGATTTCACTGCAAGCAATAAACTTTGAAATTATGATGTATTTTACTTATGATCATTATCATTATTATTGTTATTAATGCTGTTTATATCAACTTTGCCAATGATGAATGATAAAGGCCATTATTATTATCCTTCTATAGTGCAAAGTAGAGCAAAGCTCTGACATACATGTACATTCCTATTACGCGTCATTCTGCTGCACATAATTTTTTGGACTTTGTGCTTTTCATAAAAGTTTTGAAAATATGCTATTGTGGTAACTGAAACTATTGGAATCTAACAGTTCCAGGAATATAAAATAATGTATCTCATACTCACAAGGAAGTGACGTTTGAGGAGGAAATTAAACTTGCATGTGCGTTGGTGATCATATGTTTTCTCTACCAGAATATAATTAGGAGCACACTCCTTTTCATTCAAAGCATTTACTACTACTAGATCTACTACTGCTGCTACTACAGCCTCGCTGCCTGCACTGCCATATAGAAACCACTGCCTGTTCCTTCTCCTCCCTTCCTTCCCTTTCTCTCTACTTGGCAATGCCTACTATTTTGAATGGTGGAATGGCCGCGTCTCTCCGACTCGAGGACTCGCAACTGGCAGAGCTAAGCGCTCAGGCCAAGAAAGCTCCCAACTTTCAAGGCTACCTCTCCAAACTCGACACAGGGGGAAAGAGCAGCAAGAAAGCCGCGGCAAGCAAGAAATGGTGTCTCCTACACCGTAACTTTCTCTTTTATTATGACATTGAGACCTCTTCCCGTCCAACTGGTGTCCTCCTTGTCGAGAGCTGTACAGTTGGGTCAGTTGCTGTTGTCGACACTCTCCTGCCTGACTGCTTCCCGCAAGACAGAGAGGTAACAGATCAGAGAGTGCATATGTATTGTACGTGTACAATTACATTGATTTTACAGCATTAATTTTTCAGTCTGCTGAGCCAGCCTGCCTCTTTGTTTCTTTGATCCATGCATGCATGCATGTATGCATAAGACTGTAATGGTACAGCCATTCCTCACATTAACCTTTAGTCTCTGGAATTGGCCCGTATCTCCTATAATAGTGCCAACTTATAGTATTAGTCGATTTTTATTATCAAGAGTATATACTCTTGTTATTATGCATTGATGTTAGCGTCGTATTGTTTATTTATTCCTGTTTTTATTCAGGGAGGGTTTTTTATAAGCACAGACTCACTGAAGCAGCATATATTCATAGCTGAGAGTCGATCAGAGAGAGACAAATGGATAACAGCTATTAGACGATCAAGGTCAGTCCAGCTAATCATATACATACTATAGCATTAATACATACACTGTAATCGTAATGAGCAGTGACACTGACACTGGACTATAAAGTTATTGAGTGATGATTTATCAGTTGTGTTTGTGTTCATTGATTGATATTTAATGTGAAAGTGTGTGTGTACTTGTTACTTGGCAACTCTCTACTTGATGTCATGCATGTATTCTGTTAGGTTTCATTCAGATAACACACTAGGATGTCTTGAAGACACTCACTCACACACACACACACACACACTTAATGAGTATCACATGAGAGGTTTATTGGGCTTTCAGTATCATAAGTTCAAGCTTCAAAATTTAATCAGTTGCTTGTAGACTCCAGTCTAGCACAAGCAACTTGTAACCAGTACATTGTGTACATGTAATAAGTGTTAATGTTTTCTTTAAATGGATCCTTTCATTTCAATAGAGCCTGTTATTGTTTGTTGCCTTGCGCTCCACTTACAAAAGAGAAGGATGATAAACAGTGCCTTTGTCATTCGCTTTTGTGCTTCATGTAATCGTGTTACTAGAATTTCGTTATGGATTTTTCTTATAATTTTTAATCATGTTATAATTGTAGCAATAGTCCCTTCATTTTACTTTTAGCGTTAATAATTATCTTCAAAGATACTCTTATAATACCATTGTCAATTATAATGTATTTTTTCTATTGATTAGTATGTTTAAGGTCCAGCAGGAGCTTGGTGAGTTACAGCAGAAGTACGATCTACTCCGTTCGCAATTCACATCTACTTCTCGTGAGCTACAGTTTCTGAAAAGGCAGCATTTTGAATCTCAGGAAAATATAGCTCATCTCAGAGCCTCTGTGAGTACATGTATATCTATTATTACAACAAATGATTTACATGTAGCTGATATTTTGTATGATTAATAAAGTTTAGAGTGAGAAAAAGGGAGAGAGAAAACATTAATTATAAATATGAGTCTGAGAGAAACATAGTTAAGGTAGCATTGAGTTAATTGTAATTGCATTTCAGCTACTGATAATTAAGAAATAAAGACTTCCATTTGTCTGTCCTAAAAGTGTTGACACTCATCATGACCATGCAAATATCCCTTCATTAAGATACACATGCATTTACCAAGAAATGAGATAAAATTGACTAACTCATATGCATACAGGAAAGTTCTAGTACAAACAATAATTGGAGACAGTAGTAGAGAGAAACCCACATGATAAGTATAGACATGTACATGTATGCATAGTTAATTTATGTTTATAATGTATCAGTCTTCCTGTTCACTTTCGGGAAAAGTTATATGAATAGAACAACTTTCAAAGTGTATTTGTTATTTCCCTACCAAATGCTGCGTAATGGGAATGCATGTGTGCATGCGACTTATTTCTGAGTGTGTGTCTGTGATGTGTGTGCTTGTTTGTGTTGCTTGATTTGCTTCCTCTTGGCAGTTTATGTGTTTGTCTAATATGTATGCATAAACACTTTGAACTCTGTCTCTCTCTCTCTCTCTTAATCTCAGTTCCTTTTCTTATTTCCACTTCAATTTTTTCATTCTATGACATTTTCATCCTTCCTTATTGTCTCTCTTTTTCTCTCTCTCTCTCTCCCTCCCTTTCTCCCTCCTTCTTTCTCTCTCTCTCTCACTCCCCCCCCTTCTCTCTCTCTCAGTTGATTGTTCCTAGGCGCAGTGTCAGCATAAGTTCTTCTCCTAGAACACCAACACCAGAACTTAACTCTTCAGATCAAGAGGAAGAGAGTGCAAGGATTGTAAGTAGATCTCACTCAACCCCTTTCTTAATTCTCTATCACTTTCTCTCATTTCTCCCACCCTTTTTTTTCTCTTCCTTCCTTGTTTATTAAAACTATTTCCTTTTCTATTAGCTACAGTCTCACATACGTGGGTGGCTCATTCGCCGTCGTTGGAAACAAGTGGTTCATGCCTACACAAACTCGTCTCATGCTGAACTGATGAAGAAAAGAAATCAAGTGAGAATATAACAGAGAAAGAAGATGAAAGGGAATGAATTTATATTATACCCTCCTTAATTTTTTGTTGCCTCTACTACTCCTTTTTGTTTCTCCTAGTTGATATGGAAGCTGGTTGAGTCAGAGCAGAATTACGTGAAGCAGTTGGTGATTTTGACTAGTGAGTTTCAGAACCAGTTCAACATTGCAGCAGCATCAAACAAGCCACCTTTAACAATGGACCAATCAGTTAACATATTTAGAAACTGGTAAATACAAGAAGAGAAAATACATGTACATGTACATGTGAAAATAAAAGTAGATAAATAGAGAGAGTATCAAAAATACATGTGTACATGTACCATTTAAAAATCATTTCATTTTTTAATTTTTAATTTATTCTTTTTATCCAAATTAGTAATGAACTGCTCTTGTTCCATCAGTTGTTTTTGAGAGGACTCAGTAATCAAGTGGATAAATGGCCAGTGGTGATATTAGGTAAATTTATTCATAACAATAGGCTTGTTTATGATAATATGCTATTGTGGTACATGCATTGATAATTATGATTTGTTGATGTGATTAACTGATAAAGAAAAGAAATCGAGTAAAACTATAATAGAGAAAGAAGAAAAAGGAGAAAGAATTTATATTATAAATCCACAATTACAATTGAACATAACGTCCATATATAGCATTCCTATACATATCACTTGTTTTATCTTTGCTTACCTATAGCATTATATATGTTATTGCACCTTGGTAGCGAGCTTGCTGTTCCCTTTAATCTCTTACGTGTTGCTTGTCATTCTCTTTATCAGTGATTTGATAGTTGTCATTATCGTCATTATTGTTGTTGTTCTTAGAATTTTTGATCATATTGAAGTATAATGTTCACTCCACTATCTGTTGACAAATCTAACAATACAAACTATTAATATTTAGACATTATGTGACCGGACCATTGTGCATATTATTTAATTATATTTCTGTTTATCTCTTCCTCCCCTCTCTCTCTCTCTATACATGTATACTTATGTGTGTACAACTTTTGTTTGAGTTTTTTCTTAATTTCCTCTTTCCCATGAACTAGTGGGGAAGTTTTTTATTTATGCAGTGTAGAGTAGTGTGAACTCTGTGTATTTGTTTGTATTGTACTCGAATGTGTGTTTGTGACCTTGTGTATGATTTGCTATTTTAGTAGTGAACTATTTCGCTTAAATCACTTGCTAAATATAATATTAAGCATTTTTGGACTATGAGAATTGAATTTGATGATTTATTTGTATTTTTAATCTCATGTCATCACTTCCTTATATTCCTTTCATCTCTCATTGATTAATAATTCTTTCCTAATCTCTTTTGTCTCTCCTTTGTCTCTACCTCCACCCTCTCCTCCTTTATCCTCCCTCCCTCTCTCCCTTCCTCTCTCCCTCTTTCTCCCTCTCCCTCTTTCTCCCTCTCCCTCCCTCCTCCCCTCTCTCTTCCTCTCTCCTCTCTCTCCCCCTCTTCCTCCCTCCCTCTCTCCCTTAGGCGATGTTTTAAAGTTATTCTTCCCAATGCTGTCTATTTATCATCAATACATTGGCAATCACACTCACGCTTTTGAAGTATAGCCATACCAACCAACCCATCCTCCCTATATTTGGTTACATGTACCCTAGGTTCTGTTTGATCTTAAGTTTCAACCAAAATTCAAAGAGTTCTTGGAAAAGATTGAGTCAAGGCACACGTGCGATGGTCACAGGTTTGAAGAGCTACTGGTCTCTCCATTGAAAAGAGTATGTCACATTATATTATGATATTATACATATTGTACAAGTAACTGATGTTCATGTATTATAGTATTGTTTCCATATCAATAGGAAATATGTACATATACGTGTAGTAGTAGACTCTACATTTTTCATACAACCTTCTCTTGATTACAATAATAGCAATGATAATAAAATAATAGGCCTTTGATTGACTTTTGTAAAGTACATTGTACATACATACTGTAATAAAGAGTGATATGATAGACTCAGGAAGTGGGTTCTTCAAAGGCTGGATATTATACATGGAACCATGTATAATATTTATGTTCAAAGGCTAGGGAAGTAGAAGTACAAACATAGGGAGGATCATGCATGTATGTATACACATGTTCATGTAAACATGAGCTTAAGGTATGCCCACATTGAAATCACGCAAACACATCAACTATTGTTTACTCACGAATTGAAAGAAAGCATGTGTCAGTGTAGTAGCCAGTATATATCATGAGCTTAAAGAATTTTAACAGTTTGTGACATCTACTAGCACTGAGTAATGAGGCATCCAATAATGGAATTTTACGCTAAAAGCACTTACTACTAATTGACTATATTATGCATATATTGCTAGGGACGTGACTTCGATGAGGAATGCAGAAATTTAAGCGTAGAGGGAGAGAGAGAAAAAGAGAGAGTATAAGATTTAGAAAAGAGCTAGGAGAGATAGAGAAGAAAAAGGATTTATTTAAATGAGTGGGGAATGATCAAGATAGAGGGAGTGAGGGACTAAAAAGAAATAGAGAGAAAGAGAAAGATAAATTTAGAAACAAGTCATTTAAGGCAGAGAAAGTAGTGCTAGTGAGAAAGAGAGAGAGGGAAGTTGTTTACAAGTGAAACTGTCACTTGTTGTTTTTTAAAGCATACACATACATGTAGATTGTTTACTTTAATCTGTTTGTCTATGCCTTGCTTCCTTAACTATCACATTATGAACAACATATGGACCAATTAATTCACCATTAACATTATTATTATGCTTAACATTACACACTCTCTCCATATCCTGCGTAGTACTTGTATGCTAACATTCACTAGCTGTAATTGTTAATTGGATTATGTGCCCACACACACAATAATTAGGCACTGTTTAGAATGCTTGGGGATTTTAATGGATACCGCTTTGTGTTATTAGTAACAATACCCATCATGTACTCTTGGTATTAATACATGTACATATGTAATATATGTATTTACATATACATGTACATTAGTGATATAATTATTTTTATGGTGTTTCTATTAGATAACTTGTTATATTCAAGATATCCAAGAGCTAAAGTCCCACACTCCAATAGAACATGTTGATTATGCAGCACTGTCTGAAATGGGGACTGAATTGGAATTGATACACAAAGTATGTGACGATTAATGCACATTATCCCTCTATAAAAATAGCATATAGCAAAGTAGTGACACATTAATATTTAATAATACACATTACAGTCTCTAGTGTGGCCTCATTTAATCATTCATTTATATGTACATGTACACATGTACATGCATATTAACTCTTTTTTTCTTTCTGGTCCCTCTATATTGCAGGGTGTGACAGATGAGGTGTCCTATTCTGAAAATATTCGTAACGTCCTTAAAATAGAGTCCAAGATAGAAGGAGGTTGCCCTGTTTTGTTAGACAAGGAGCAGGCATTAGTTAGAAAGGGTAAGCACGTACATTAATTGCTAAGTTATTTTTCATCTCTTCTTAAAGGTATTCTCTGTATCTGGAGACAGGATGATAAACTGCTCACTTTCTCCAGAAAGACAAGAAGGAGGCAGAACTATTGCTTCCTATTTTCAAAGCATTTCCTAGTGACACAGAGAGTGGAGAAGAAAGGAGAAGAGGGATACCGTCTGTTGAAAGAGAACGGGTTGCTCTCACTCGCTAAATGTAGGATACATGAACATGCACTCCCTGAGTATCCAGGTAACGTAATACATGTACATGTACAGTATTTACCTTAAGGAGAAAGTTATTAGTGTGTACTTATTGTAGCGATTTTCATGATACTGACATTTGGCTGGTATTTTATTTAGCATTTTCATCATTTAATAGTAATCACTATCAATAATTTAATTAGAAATTAATGTTAGTGTGGACTTAAGTTAGTGACGGTTTAAATTGCTAAAATTCACTAAATTAAATGCCCACAAGCGTTTGTCTCCTTAAGATATTATTGAATTTATGTATTGCTGGTTATGTACATTATACTCATCCCTATTTTACTCTTATCTCTCTCTTCTTTGTTTTTTTATTTTTATTTTTAGAGTTACGTTTTCTCAGTTTTGGTCTTGAGATTGATGATGGTTCACAGAGTCAGTCCAAGCAGAAGTTGATATTTATTGCAATGTCAGTGGCAGAGAAGGCACAGTGGATAGCTGATATTGCTCAGGTATATAAACTTTTGTATGTTTAAAATACACTGTACCTTTAAAGAGTACTTACTAAGTAATTGCAATTTTCCATGAAGTTTATTAAAAGCAACACTTATTGATACTTATTGTTCTCCTACAGTGTATTGAAAATGAGAAACAGAATAAAATACTTCAAAGCCAAAGGTGAGTGATAATTAGTGATACTCGCTAAAGTGATAACTAGTGATTGTTAGTTCTAATGATAATTATTTATTCTATTTTATTTTCTCTAGTCAAGGGGAACCTGTTGAGCTCAATTCAAAGTTTATGCGATACAGCACATTTAGAAGCGGGAAAGAACAACTGGTAAGAAAATTAATTTGAGTTGAATTACTTTTTATTTTAATATTTTTACAACCTTTACCCCAAGATCTTTCCTACATGTATGATTGTTTTTACACACGTGATGTACATGTGTATATGTATTTATATCTAAAGTGTATGTCACACTTATAGATGTACATAATTATTGTTTTTGAGAAATAACAATTAAGATGCCTTAGCAATCAACCATCCCACTACTCTAGAAGCATTTAGTTCAAACTTCCTACATAGCGTGAGGGCATCAAGATGTATCAAAATTGTATTAAAAATTGGGAGAGCCTTTAAAAAACCATGGGTTATTATAACCCATGATTTTTTCAGAATTTGGCTTATTTTAAAAAGTGGTTGTAAATCAAAAAATTTAAGTTGGAATTAGCTCAAACTTTCTACATAGCGTAAAGGCATCAATATGTATCAAAAAATGTAATAAAATTGGAGGTGATTTTGGAGCCATTTTTGAGAAACTATGGGCTATACATGTAGTACAGAGTATTTTTTTAATTTTTGCTAATTTTAAAAAGTGGTTGTAACTCTATAAATTTAAGCTGGAATCAGCTCAAACTTTACATAGCATAAGGATATCAAAACACACTCCAAAAACTTCTCCAGTCTATTCCAAATGCATTATAAAGTAGAACCAAGCTACATGTACATGTATGAATGCAAATAGTAAAAAAAATCTTAGGATATTTTTACACTATAAATGATTGCTTTCTTTATTCAGGTCAGTTGTGGTAATTTGGATAGTTTGCTTCTCCGATTGACTAAAGTCAGCTATTTTGGTTTGGATTTCCTCAATACATTTCTCACTACATTCCCTCTATTCACAACTCCACAGAATGTATTAGACTATCTTATTAAAGTAAGAATAACCTACACATTACAGTGAGTTATATCCTACTGATGACGCACATCAAAGGTACCGCGTGCACTATAACTCAGCAAGACCCCAGCAGTGATCTAAGCCACCCACAACAATGCTTTAACCCACCCACAATGATGTTATAACCCACCCACAATTTAATCAAATATTTTTGCTATTATTTTGAAACAAAAAACAATTATTCTTGATGGTCTGGTGTAGGATTATATGCACCTTGATACACATTAATTGTGCACCCATTGAGAGATGCTGATCCAAAAGAGAAAGTAGGTACAACAGACCTAGATGAGCATTCCAGGTTTAATACCTGAGAGCTAGTGGTAACAGAAGTGTGTTCCTTCACACTTTGTGGAACTACACGTAGAGCTTTGCATGCTTCTTCTCTCTGCCTTTCTGATATGTGCTCATACTTTCTTAAACCATCCAGTGAAGTGTGACCTGTTCGCTCTTTATTCTCTTTCATATAGCGATATAATCCACACAACA